AAGCTGATGTGGAAAAAGTGCGAAGAATGGATAATACTAAAGTAGTAACATTAGGAGATTTTAATATTTGCAGATCCACAGGGACTGATATTCTGGAGGAACATTTGAATGCCTATAACCTCTTTTCAATCAATGATTCTTCCACAACAAAACGAATAACAGAAATTGATTGGATATTTTCAGATTCTCGAATTCCAAAAGCTCTTGCCATTACTTATGAGACACCATATAGCCAACACGATGGAATTTTTTTAAGTATAGCTTGTAGTAGGTAATATAATTAAATATATAAATTGTAAAAATTGTAATAGGTTAGAAAAAATAATTAATTGTATATAGCATGTTGTATATATGTATTTTTATGGTATTATTAATTTATTTATTTCTATCTATCAACGTAGTTTTCAAAATTGTATATATATAAAAATGAAAATATATTTCCCCCCTCGTGGATTGTGACCTTGACGTGGTGTGGGGGCTGAGTACGTGAAATTGTTTTAATATCACTCAAGCTAGCAACATTCCTTATAATGTAACATAGTGTTACTAACATTGAATATTTCTTATAACTGCAAGGGTATTCAAACTTCGGCTTGCCAAAGTTAACTTCCTTTCTTGTTTAACATAAAACCTCCTAAGCTTGGAAATAACATTTTTTTAAATTAGTTTTGAATTTCGAATTAAGTTTTATCAAAATCGGACGACTACATCATATAGCTGCTATAGGAACGATTGGAAAATTGGTGGGAAAATAGCATGAAACAAATTATTGCTTCGGTGTTTTTTGATAAATTATCTTATACTATTGGAAATAACATTTGGTGTATTTTTAATAATTTCGAATTATATTTAATACAAATCGGACGACTCTAACATATAGCTGTCAAGGAAGCGGTCAGCGAAATAATGAAATAATTATTATACCCTTGCATTTATTATTATACCCGTTACTCGTAGAGTAAAAGGGTACACTAGATTCGTCGGAAAGTATGTAACAGGCAGAAGGAAGCGTTTCCGACCCCATAAAGTATATATATTTTTGATCAGAAACTAGCCGAGTCGATCTAGCCATGTCCGTCTGTCCGTCTGTCCGTCTGTCCGTCTGTCCGTCCGTCCGTCTGTCCATCTGTCCGTCCGTCCGTCTGTCCGTCTGTCCGTATGAACGCTGAGATCTCGGAAACTACAAGCTACAATACTGGGATTAGGAATTCAGATTCCTGAGATTCCTGCGCAGCGCAAGTTTGTTTCAGCAGAGTGCCACGCCCACTCTAACGCCCACAAACCGCCCAAAACTGTGGCTCCTACAGTCTACAAATCTAGTTGGAGGGACAAAGTCTCCTAAAAGGAAAAGACCCGATGCGCTAGTTGCTCTTATGCAACCTACGTACAACGAAGCTCGCTTAATGCCTCTTTTAAGATGCACTGCGACTTTCCTGTAGGTTGCTCCTTGGCTCTTATGGATGGTAATAGCCTCAGCAGGAACAACTGGAAACTGTTTTCGATCAATAGAAGAATGTCCCGAATTTTCGCATTGGAATACTCGGGCTGTTTTATAAATTGGAGTCCAGTCTGAGTGATCATTTCCTCGAACTTTTGACCTAGCTATAGTACCGACAGTGGCATCTGTAAACTTAATCCACAGTCCAGTAACTAATAATGAGACGTTAACCATACAGCTGTCAATTCGCATTAATTGACCAGTTGCCCCATTTACAGGTCCATCATTTGTGTCAATATTGACGGTAACCATATATTTTGCAGTAGTCTTCAGGTGTAAAATATTTGGAAGACCCTGAGTTTCAGAGGTTTTCATGTTTTGGGCATGCCTAAGAGGTGATTCTCGACTTCTTTCAGACATATTAGCTGATTTAACTGTATCTACTGCAGTTGACACAAATTCTTCAGTTCTAATTTGGGCAAGTTTTAGGGAGTTGTAATGGTTTACGTCAGCATTAGAACAGAATAAGTGAATTGCATCGTCAGGAACATCGGTTACTCTTGTCCTGAAAAGCTCAATATCTGCATCTGTCATGTTGGCTTCAGACATTTTATTCATAGCCAAAGCAAAAGCGTGGTCGTCACGTTGCCGCATTATTTCCGTTAGCTCGAAAAACTTAAAGTTATTCCAAAGGTTAGCTCCTGCCAGAATATTATAGGGATTAGATGTATTTTCTGCGATTATCCAACGATCTCCAACTGGGCTAAGCTGCTTCAGATCTCCAAACACTATTATAGACTTGCCCCAAAACTTACATCTTGACTTCTAAATATTTGACAAAGCCTTTGACCTAAGAATCCAAGCATTTTTGATCCGACCATAGAGATCTCATCTATAATAATTAATTGGATATCAATCAACTTGCAATGCATTGTAAAGTGTCATTGCTTAAGGGTCTTAAAGGACCAGATGTTTGATTAACAGGAAGGGAGAAAACTGAATGAAGCGTTAGTCCCCCAATCCCAAAAGCTGCTTTTCCAGTAGGAGCACAATGTAAAACCGTTGCGGAATCTGTTGCCCCAGGAAGTTTATTTGCTCGCCAAGTTATAGACTGAAATATTGTAGAAATCAATCTGCTTTTTTCCACTCCGGCCTTCCCACCAACATATTCATAAAATGTTATACATTACGTGGGCCGACGTCAGGTACTGCCAAAGCCCTTAACTCTTCATCAAGGTATTGAGAGGCTGGCCCTTCGGGAAGAGGGCCGTTTTCTTCTCTATCCACATTTTGCAGATACTAAAGAACTCTCTCTAACTCCACGTCGTCAAACACATCATACTGCTCTTTATTGCGTTTAATCATCTCAAAATTATTTCTAAACGTGCTTTCATTGTCGTTTGAAATGAGTTCCGTCTCTTCACTTCTCCATGGGAAAAAGAGCATTTCGTGCTCTCTAAAATAATCTGATGGAGAAGAGCTTAAACTGAAGCGAACCCACCTAAGAATTAGGGCATGATTACGACTTTTTACCCTACCAGTCCCATCCAGCATTTGGTAACTCTGTGCAGCAACGTTATTTTATTCATCTGCATCAAAGTCGATTGGTTCGTCATATTCTTCGTTTGACTGTTCTGATCGTGCATTTAGCTTGGAGAATTTGAACCAAGCCGCAAATTCCTCAAGACATGACGACTCTAGTTGTTCATGTCTTTGCACGTATCGATCAAGTAAATTTCGCTGTTGAGTTTGCGGAAAGCTGTTCTAATTCTCTGTTAGATCGGACTATCCGGACCCTTTTATCTGGATGGCAAGTGTTAATAAAAACATTCCCTTCACTAGCCTCAGACAAGAGTAAACCTAAAATGTTGTATGCAGCTTCTTGGAAAGATATTTCTGTAGCGTTAATAAACTTGCTCCCTATATGCTGCAATTTTCTTTTGACGGAAACACTTCCATGGCTTGTTTCTGTCATTGCTTCTCGAACGGCACGGTTGGATTTACTTATGTAGAATGAATTGAAGATCCATGTTTGCTCTACGCAAGCCTAAAATATTTATATTATAAGCATTTGGCAACCTATCAGAAAATTGTCGACGAAGAGACACTTGGGCCCTTTTTAAGCTAGAACGAATGGCGAACATGTACTCCTCATATGAAATTTCAAGATGGCTGAGAAAATATTCAAAATTATTAAACATGGCCGATTCTTCTTCGGAAACAGACATTAGGAGCTCTTTAACTTTTTTAAATATTTCTTTATATTCTTCAACGTTGGATTCGTTTTCTTCAAATGGATACAAAACAAGAGTTTCAGTCATTGGTGGGTATGGCATATTAAAACGGCAGAATTGTTATCCTCGCAGTTCCTTTAAGCCTAGTACTCAGATCGGCTAAGAGTTTCACTAGTCGAAAAATCTTATTCTTTGTAGTGGGACCGAAGTTTTCAAAGTTCACCCGCAATGCATGTGGCATGGTCTTACTTTCAAGCGGCTTGTTGTTGCCAAATGGAAAAGAAATCAGTTTGGCAAACGTGGCAAACTTTTTTTTGGCTCAATCAATAGGTATTCACGAGAACAATACATTTCAGTTAAAATTTTTATTCTAGCACAGGAGCCACAGTTTTGGGCGGTTTGTGGGCGTTAGAGTGGGCGTGGCCCTCTGCTGAACCAAACTTCGCAAGAAGCTCAGGAATCTGCACGCCAAATCTCAGTAGCCTAGCTCTTATAGTTTCCGAGATCTCAGCGTTCATCCGGACGGACAGACGGACATGGCTAGATCGACTCGGCTAGTGATCCTGATCAAGAATATATATACTTTATGGGGTCGGAAACGCTTGTTACATACTTTCCGACGAATCTAGTATACACTTTTACTCTACGAATAATGGGTATAAGACATGAAATGTTCAACGAATGTTTTTATTTATGTAAATTAGAAGTTAAAGGCTTCCTTCTCGCCTCACGGATGCTTCGCCATCTTTCCCGCGCCTTCTGTAGTCCAGCTCCGAGTCCCAATAGGCTGGCCAATAATGGCTGGTAATGGCTCCTCCAGCTGTCCCTTAGCCGGCGACCTTCTTTTCTCCTCCCTGTAGAGGCTGGCGCGTCCTCCATCTACGCTTTAGCAGTCAAGTAGCTGGTGGAGGTGGAGTCCTCAATGGAGAGCTCGTCGGAGATCGAGCGATGTCCCATGTTCCTTCCCACTGGGATTCTCCAGTGGATCTCCTCCAGCGTATCAACTATTCTGCGGATTTGCCTCGTTGTGGTATTGTTTCCTGTCGGTCAAGTCCCACAATAATGGGCAACAGCTTGGATTATGCGTCCATTTTCATCTGCACTGACCTCCGTTAGCCGTTTTTGGTGTTTTTCCTCCATTTTTCATTTTTAAATTCCCCACCGCTTCTGCACGAATACCGCCCAAGATTAAATTTCTTTATCTTTGGGCCGCGGCTAACGGCGCTCATCGAAAATTCACTCTCGAAATCTGGTATTTTTTCTGGTATTTCCTTAGCTCATCTGAGTACCGCGCTGAAAAACAGACCCGACGAAATGCTTTAGCCGCCTGTTTGCCTCGCTCACTCCTATGGTTAGCTCGCGGTTTTCGTCGATGTGAGTACTAGGCTTTAAACATGAAGCGCTGTTCTTATGGCGCTGATATTAAATTACTTCATGCATTTCAGGATCGTCCCCGCTGGTAGTAATGAAACGATCAATAAAGCGGGTGACCTCTTCGGCGTTATCGGGTCCTTCTAGCTTTGGGGCACCAGAAAACCAATACATGCCATGAGAGTGCGGCGATTCTCTGTGCTAGAACTCGATCCTCCAATAATAATGGACGAGTCTTAACTCATTAATTGCCGGAACCTGTAGTCGAAGTACAGGGAGCACGTTACTGGGTCAGATAGAATTAATCTAGCTTTTTTCGGCGCAAGAAAGAGCTGCTGCCTCTTCCTCAGTAATGTCTCTGCTATCCAATAAAAGAGTTCGTTCCATTTAGATTCAGCAGCAGAGAGGGTTATGAAGAATGTAGGCAACCCAAATTGTCTAATCATGGCAATAAATTTCTTTTTTTCTGCCTCCCAGTGTGCTGGAGCTGAACGAAGGCCTTTTAGAATGTGAAATCCATCGTCATGTTGTACAAGACTGTCAATAAATGAATTATCCCTCACATTTGCAGCAGTTACTGCACCTGATTCTTTCGTATGGCAATGGAAATAGAACTTTGTTTTCGTTGCATTTGTTACGTACGCCCTTCCCCATACCAAGATTAACCCCGGCAAAACAACTGCCATTAGTTGAGGGTAGGGGCCGTAATGACTAACCACACTGCGATTGATAAAAGCAAAACAGCAAAAACAATTCGACAACTCATGGGTGTCGCGTGGCCAGAACAACGATCACGATCGACCTGCTCGTAACCGTAATCCAGTAAGGTGGCAAAGTGCACCAGCCGGCCATTGACTCCTAAAATAGGGGAAATGGAGAAACAGTACCCCTAGGTGGGAACACCTAGTTAATTCATCCAATATGGGGGCTAGCGAAAGCTCTAGTCCGGTATAAAAGACACCAGCCAAATGGAGAAAGACAGAAATTGTTCTGATCTCTCCATGACGGTGGTCTAGAAGTGCAACTCCCATCAACACAGACCACGACTGGAAGAAGGCTGGTGTCCAGAAGGATGTCTTGACGTTTCCCTAGGATCAACTTCACCCAGGAGAAAGTCCCGATAACCGGTCCTGCGATCGACCACAATCTGGAGGAAGTCAACCAGCAAAATCCCGAAGGACAAAAATAACTAGTGAACCAAGTGAATGGCCTAAAGACCCCAAGATGGGCGGCGAAACTTCCAAAGTGGCCGACAGCACCGCCAATGTGATTAATCACGTAGAGATCGTTGACCACAGGGACGATATTCAAGATGTCAACAGGACCCTGAAGCTCATAGCTGGACTACTACTGGTTATAGTGATCCTTAAAGTGGTCAGGATGTACAAGCGCTCTGTTCAGAGACGCCGCGACCAACATCACACCCTGGAGAAAGTGGTGACCCACATTGGAGCATAAGCCGAGCCGATACAGTGAAGTGAAACCACCAAAAAGACAATAAAAGCAGCAAAAAGACAATAGAAACAATACAAATAATAATAAATAAATTGCACTCCAATATTATAAACAAAAAAGTGAATCGCCAAAACAATCAAAAACAATTTGCGAGTACATGCATTTCTGAATGCAAGTGTAAACAGAACCCCCAATTACATACGCTGAACAAGAAATTGGAGCTGCACCGACCAGCCCAGCCCGAGCATTGGAACTGACGTGTGCCTCAGTGGAACTCGCATACGATGCATACATACATACATATCTATACAGCGATAGTGTTATTTTTTTTGTGTAACATAATTTTTGTGTTTTGTTTTTGTAAACCGCCTTCAAGTCTTGCACGTATATATGTATATAAACCAATTATAAAATCTCCCAAAGCCCAGGATCCGGAGCGTCGAGATCTCATCGCCCAGGATTAAAAAGAGGGTAAGTTTGTCGGAACACGGTTCCTTTTCTTATACATACATATATATATATCCGTGCACCATGATTACATCAGAAGCTTTAGCAAAAACAATAGACACTGATCCACAATTTAACGTAAGAATTTTATACTTGTTATCAAAAGCGACCCTACCAATAACAGTGAATGAATTGGAATACTTATATATTGAGACCTTCCGTCTAGATTTTTCTCCACTTGCCCACTGTAATAAGACCGAAAAAGCTATCATTATCTCTACCGTTCCAGCGGTCATTGTCCTCTCCCGTCTGGATAAGAATTTGTTTTTGGGCAATGTTAATACTTTCCTAGTTAAGACAAAGAATTAATCTGTTAGGAATACATGTAATAATATATAATAGCCACATATGATAATTGTTCCATATATATAATCATTTAGATATACTTTTCTTTTTATACCTTTTTTTATACATAATAATTAAATGTTAATTTTTCAGCGGCGAGTATCAGCCTTGTAATTGTATGACAATTGCAAGAGCCCTCTGAGCGACGTTTGCAGTCGTAAATAGTCAGCATTTTGCTGATGTGTGCACCTTCACAGGTGGTCAAATCGATACTCTCCGCTAATACAATAATTGTCAATTAATTTAATCCCCATATGAATTAGCCAAAATTATGTTACTCAACACCGGCACACGCCGACCTAAATATGAACCAATAAATTTGTAATGTGAAAAAGTATTCGAAACCATGTTGTGCTAGAACTCTAACAAAGGGGGTGTGCTGACGCGAGGAGTGAAGTAGGTCAAGAACAATGACATAACTTTCGACGGACAACCTTGACAATAGGGGATCGTATTGCGCGGCCCGCGACGATCCATTGGCACACGAATGTGTGAAGGGGAGGGAATATGGCCAACACACAGCCCGATCGTATTGCGATCAAGCGACAGCTAAGCTTGTTGGGCAGTGTGGACTGATGACTGACGAACTTGATGACTATTATTATTTTTCCAGGCACTTTTAATATTTATTCTCGTTATGTTGGAGAGGAGAGAGGCTTACCAAGATCCCACGACCCAAATACGACGTAGCTTATGCCGGCAAATGGTGCCTGAACATCGGACGCCTCTCCCTCGGCCCAAGTCCTTGTCAGGACTCGGGCACTAATATGCCCACGTAACAGAATTGGCGCCCAACGCTAGGAAATTTCATATTCCTTAAGGAATTTTACCAGGGTCCACAATCTCGATGCCTGCGGTATCGGAGTGGATATACCTAGGGATGGCATAGCTTTCATCTTTTTTTGCCATGAGTAATTTTACTGTTTGATAGAACAGGGAGCTTAAATAATTTGAAATATGCGCATACTTATTTTATCTTTAAATTAATAACCGTAAAGTCCCCAACTTCTGTGACTGTCAGTGTTGAGCGGCCGCTCAATCAGAACTTTGTCGCAGAATAGAGGCCTGACTTTGAAATGTTTTTAACCTTAAAAATTCTCTGTTTTGTTCATGGACAAATTTACCAGAACTTCCTTAAATCAAGAACTATGAGTTATCCTTTTTATAATACTATACCTACAACTAAGTGTCGACGACTACTTGCTAAAATTAACGTAAATACAATTTATAGGTGCTTTCTGGCCGACGCCACACGACGTACTACGCATTTGCCCGGTCGTTTGAATTGGTTCGAGTCCAGAAAGAGCAGGAGCGCAAGCATTACGGTAACGCATTTAGCAGTTGCGGTGCGGGTCTACTGTTCGTTTGTCGATCCAGGACAGAATGGGGGTGGGGGAACTGACAGGAAACGCAAAGCCGACGCCCTACAACGTACTAGGCATTGGTCCGGTCGTTTGCTTGGTTCGAGTCTTTGCTGTTTCCCTTGACATATTTGGGTGGTGGACGATTTTTAGTTTCTCTGGCCGACGCCCCACAACGTATTAGGCTAGTTGGTCAGGTCGTTTGCTTGGTTCGAGTCCAGAGAAATAGGAGACGGTTGTGGAGCCCGAGAATGATCGGTCAAACAACTTGTTTTCCGACGACTGGCGGGAGGGGGTTTTTGGACAGATCCCTTATCTAGACACAGCCATTCCGTTTGGAACATTTGGGATGTCTAGAAAAAGGGAAAGTAAGGGCATGTTAGCTTAGCGGAACCGCGTTGTGTAGAAGCGGCTAACACCCCTAGTTAGGGAAATTTATTTTATTTTTGTTTGGGGCTTAAATATCGGACGGTTCTTGACCGAAGAGAAACTTGAGAAGCAGAGGGAAGCACCCCCAGTTTATAAACATTTTTATTGTCGACTTATTCAGCGGATACGTCGCTGACCGGGTGTTTTGAAAAGAATCACGTGAACCTTTTATACCAAAACGCAAAAAAAAAACAAGTGAAGACAAATTTTAGTGCGTGTATTAATCCGCACAAAGTGACAATCTATAAAAAGAAAGCGGAGGCCTTTAAAGAAGGTCCAATCGTATAAATGAAGGGGGCCAAGAAGAAGGTCTTATTCCAACCCAGCACCGGAAGAGTGACCCGAGCAACAACGCGCGGAGACAATCACCAACCCCGCAGTGCAAGCGCGCCAAGGCTAGGAGATTCACCTGAAAGAGAGCCGTGGGAGCGCGCACAGGATCAGCCAGGACAGGTAGATACCCTGTCTGAAGAAAACAACTTGGACCAATACACTGAAATGGAAGGAGCCGCCGGAGGGGAGAATCTACCCCTAGGACCGCCGAAAGGAAGATCAAGTATGCTTCCCCAATTTCAGAGGCACGTGGAGGACAACTTAGAGGCTGCCGAGCGACGTGAACAAAGATTGATGGAGCTCTTGAGGCAAAGCAATGAAATGCAGCGTGGAATGAGTGCCCAGATAGAAGCGCTGAAAGCCCAGATAACAGAAATGCAGTCTCCGACAGACAGGAGACCGGAACAGAAGGGACTGCCTTCGCCGCCCCGTACTGTCCCGAATCCAACGGACAGTTTTTTGAGATACCAAGAGACCCCGCCTCTGGAACCGGTAACACAGGACATGCTCAATAGCCAGATGCACCGGCTAAGAACACCCAGGCGGATGGACACCCCATCACACAGGCAGTTCAGAACAAACGAGAGGGAGTCGAGTCACCAACTGCATCCAGAGATCGATCGGAACTCATCATTCCAAGGACCGCGACCAAAAGATGTCAGATTGGACAGATGGAACCTAAAGTTCGATGGAAGCGGACGCGGCATGACAGTTGAGAGTTTCCTATTCCGCGTGGACCGACTACAAGAATTGTATGACCTCAGCCGTCAACAAGTCTTTCGTGAATTCCATCTTCTGCTGGCAGGTGCAGCCACGAAATGGTATTGGCAGCTTATGGAAGACAAGGCAGAGGATTACGACTTTGACTACTACTCATTGACCCAAGAAATGAGACGGGCATTTTCCACTACCGGAAGTGACCTTATGAAAGTCAAAGAATTGATGGAACGCAAGCAAGGGCCACACGAAACCTTTAGCGATTATGTCTCGGATATGCATAACCTGCATTTCAAGCTCAAGCACAAAATCGCTGAAGATGAATTCGTGGAGCTCTTAAAGGATAACATGAACTCCCAGATGGGGGGATTACTACTAACATCCCCAATTACCTCATTAGCGGAGCTCAAAAGAG